AGCCAGCGGGCCCCCTCTTCACTAATATGGGGCCCAGCCATTCTGGGACATTACATTGTTCCGGAATAAGGGTGCCCGGGACAGACCCACAAAATGCGGGACTGTCTCGGGCGATCCGGGACACGTGGGCACCCTACACAGAGCAATACCAGACGCAAATCACATACAGCCAGCACACACACTCACGCACATTACATAGAACCAGCTCACCCCACATAGAAATCACATGCATCCTGCACACACTACACACAGCCTACATACACCTTGAACTTTTTTTGCTTATTTTACGGTAAAGTTATCTAACAGATGGGTGACAGATGTTTGGACAGGGGCTGCAATTTCAGTTCTTGCCACAAATTATTCAGTAGATACGCCTCTGAATTACACCCATAAACATTTTTGCAGATGCTTATAACAGTTTGCATTACAATATGTACATACTTAAAGGACCACACAGTAAAACCTAAATAATGCATTTGATTTTTGCAGATGTCTTGTGAAAAGGGGGTGTGTAATTATAATGCAGAAAGCTGTTTTGTGGTTGTTTTTCCCCCTCAAAACTAGAGAGATTTTAATGTGTAGAAAAATACAGCATGTATATGAGAAGAAAATATATCAAATGCACTTGAGTTGTGTTTGTACTCAAAAACAGCTAAAGTCACAATTAAAGGGACACTATAGTCACCTAAACAACTTTAGCTTAATGAAGCAGTTTTGGTGTATAGAACATGACCCTGCAGCCTCACTGCTCAATCCTCTGCCATTTAGGAGTTAAATCCCTTTGTTTATGAACCCTAGTCACACCTCCCTGCATGTGCCTTGCACAGCCTTCCATAAACACTTCCTGTAAAGAGAGTCCTATTTAGGCTTTCTTTATTGCAAGTTCTGCTTAATTAAGATTTACTTATCCCCTGCTATGTTACTAGCTTGCTAGACCCTGCAAGATTTAACTCCTAAATGACAGTGAATTGAGCAGTGAAATTGCAGGGGGATGATCTATACACTAAAACTGTTTTATTTAGCTAAAGTTATTTAGGTGACTATAGTGTTCCTTTAATTACAATTCTACTATAATTCGGTGGCTAGTGACTTACCCCTGTAGCATACTATAATGCATGTAGTCTGTAAGAAGATTTGAAGTGATACTTTGCATATTCTCAAGATAAAATGGAATTTCTGCCAAATGTCACTGGTGACTAATGTATTTATGCTAGTGTGCATAAAATGTTAGCTCATCCTCTTCTTCCAAACTGTAAAGGAACTTTCAATGGGTGATGTCATGCCTTCAGCCAGATAAGGAAAAAAGTGAATTAACAGCGAGACTACAGGAAAGTGATCTATACACTCAAACTGCTTCATTAAGCAGTCCCTTTAAGTTAAAGTTCCGATGGTGCTTAGTGTATACCTGTAAATGTTTTTAGGCTTGACCTGAATACTAATATAGGATATGTGCCAAAAACCTCTAGAGGCAATTCAATTCTATGGGATCACTTTATTTCCAGTTATTTACAGCTGCACTGACAGTAAGAAAGGGCAACAAAATACATTGATTTAAAAAAATAAAAATGTGTACATGGTTAAACCCCCTTCAGTCACTTACCTTAATCCAGCGCCCTCGGTGCTGGGTCAGGTTCCGCCCACTCTCCTCTCCCGCTGATGTCAGCCTGTGGAGGAGACTTAATGCACATGTGCGCGCATTAGACCCCCCCATAGGAAAGCATTATTTAATGGTTTCATATGTGGAAAATCGAACTCTGGAGGTCTCATGCAGAGTGTGAGGACGTCCAGCGTCTGATAACGGACAAAAGGTCGGTTTCGATACCGGAAGCTCCCCCAGTAGCTGTCTGGTAGACAGTTACTGAGGACAGACTTAGAGCTGCAATGTAAACATTGCAGTTAAGTGCAAAAGGGTCACAGCACCCAGACCACTTCAATGAGCTGAAGTGGTCTGGGTGCCTGCAGTGTCCCTTTAAGCACAGATATGCACACCAGTCAAGCCATAAGACAAAAATGTTATTCTTTGTTGAACTAAATTGCATATGCCCACCCAGAATCCCTTGCAGTAGTAACATTGCTGCAAATTTGAGATTTTTGTGGTAAAAGCAAGTCATATGGCTTGACTGGTGTGCAGTTCTGTGTTTAACAATATATTGACTATACATATATAAATATAAAATTGATTTTCTCACCCCTCCTGGGTGGTACAGTATGTTTATTCCTCATTCTCAGGTCCTCTACCAGGGGCCTGGGAGTTGAGGGTTCTGCGCAGTATCTTAGCTGTTCCTAGAACTCTTCTGGACAGTGATCTCAGATATCCCACCTGGAACCTGTTGAAGCCACTCCCCCAACTTGCGAGTCACAGCCCCTAGTACTTCTATCACAACTAGGACTACTACTGTCTTCACTTTACACATTCTTTCTAGCTCTTTTTTCAGTCCTTGGTATTTTTCCACCTTCTCATGTTCCTTCTTCCTGATATTATAGTCACTGGGTATTGCCACATCCACCACGACTGCAGTCTTTTGTTCTTGTCTACCACCACGATGTCGGGTTGGTTGGTCAGCACTTACTTTTCTGTCTAGATCTTAAAGTCCAACAGGATCTTAGCCCTGTCATTCTCAACTACCCTTTGTGGTATCTCCCATCTGGACTTAGGCAGGACCAATCCATATTCTGTACAGCAACTTGGTTGTGTGTCCACAGAGACGAACAGGCTCAGATATGTGTATATACATATATTTATATACACACACAGCACATATATCCATATATGTGTGCATTTACATATACATACATATACACTGTACAAAGAAAATAAATAAAGTGAGATGTAAAGATGAAGACATTCTGTTCTTTCCTCAAACATATATTCCAGGACAAGTCAAATTTACTCATAAAACACAAGTTCTTTTCACTACTCTCCAGGGTACATTTTATAAAAGGATAGCGTAATAAGAGAACATTTTAGATTGAGGGATTGCTGAAAAGAAGGAACGGTGTCTAAATCACCACACCTCCCCTAGTCTGAGAACAAACTACGTCAGCTTCCATGGGAACAGGAAATACGCCATTTCTAGAAATCCTGGTGTGTAATAGTTAAGGAACATTATTTCAGAGTTAGCCTTCTGTGTAAAGATATATGCCCAAAGCTCTAGGAAGGTATGAGCCAGGCATGAGACTGCTTCCTGCTTCGATCGGAATACCAGTAAAAAAAAAAAAGAAGAAAGAAACGAAACATTTTATTGTATTTACCACAATAAATTCATGATTGGATTTCACAAACATTCCAGCAGAGTAATAGGATCTAATAATCTGTGTCAGTATGCAGAAAGATAAAAAAAATAAAATGTGCAAGGTCCGGCCAGATGTACTCACAAAACACGTATAAAACCTAAGTGATATCAATGTACTCCACGAACAGCTGTTAGGAAACCTGCAGCGGTTACAATGTATTTTTACTTTACAACACCCCAGATGTACTGAACCTTTGTATCACACAATTCAGATTTGAGTTACGGTACGTGTGTCATTTTGTTCAGTGATGAAGGGATATTTGAAAAGCTGGCATTCCAATTCCAAAGCTGGGAAAAAAGAATACAAGTTTCTGTAATACTCTGTTATGTATTGTCTGTATCATTGTAAATAAAGTTTAATATTATGCCAGCGATACTCTATTATTTATTGTCTGTCTTTGTAAATAAAGTTTAATACAATGTCAGCAATACTCTATCATTTATTGCCTGTGTATTTGTAAATAAAGTTGAATAATATGTCCGTTTGTTTACATAAAAGGGAAACTGCCACCAGGAATTAATGTTATGTTTACTTATCCCATTTTATTAACAGATGTTTCTGTAAGACACAGAAAAATAAAATTAAATGCGGAAATCGCCTCTTAAGCCATATAACAGCACCCTCAGTTTTTAGCTCCCTTTCAGTCATTGTTATAAACCAGGGGTAGGCAACCTTTGACACTACAGATGTTGTGGGCTACATCTCTCCTGCTGCTTTGCCAGCATTATGGAAGTGCATTATGGGAGATGTAGTCCACTTCATCTGAAGTGCCAAATGTTGCCTACCCCTATTATAAGCTCGATACTTTGCACCTGGTATTCAGCATAGAGAAAACATACAAAGAAATTAAACATGTAATGTTTTTAATTCTCCTCCTATTCATTTGAAAATGTGCCCTGGTTGTACCTTGTCAGAACTGGATTGAGACGTAATCTGGTAAAACATTAAAATAAATGAAAAGAAAACGGAGTATCTCATGGATAAAAAACATCAACACAAGTTATGGGTGATTTTCAATGTTTTATTTAATGGTATATCTACCAAATAAGTGACAGCTGAAAGTGTTATTGAATATGATTTCGTTCAATAAATACTTTAGTGCGATGTTGAAAAATATACATGAAACTTTTGTTCATTCAGAAAGAAGTGCAAAGAACATGTCAAAAATAAGAATATTCTACAATTATATATCGATCTGTTCTAATGGTATTTGGAAATTTTTTGCAAACAATTAGCATGTGGGTATATGGTAAATTTATTGTGGTGAAAGTCTGGGGTCATCATGATTTAAGCTTGTGAATGCAAACTAGACATCAACATTGGATTGTTCTTTTTTTTATAAATAAATTTAGATTTCAAAAAGTTTCAAATAAAGACGCTTAATCAGTAATTGTTATAATATAGTCCTGTAGGCAGTATTTGAACAAAATGTAACTAAAGCGTATCACACGTATATTATTGCAGACTTATGGTTAACAAGAATGGATATTGCTTAATTTGTGAGTATGGAAATATTTTATTTAAAAAATAAAATTGCATGTTATTATTTTTTGCCCCAGCGGATATATGGATAATGCTTCCCTCGATGTGACGTAATTCACAAGTATATTATGTATACTGTGCTTACATCATCGGAATGAGACAACCCTTACGTCACTTTGGCATTTCCACTGAAATCTGTTATAAAAAGGTTAGGATGCCCCACAATGGCTCATTCATCCACTGGTCAGCCTCTGACAATCAATATTTTAAGCAAATTCCAGCACCTGATACTCTTACAAAAAATGATGTCACATAGAGGTAGGTACCATGACAAGAAGATTTTGTTGCAGCTGTATAGGTTAACACATCACTAATAGTTTGTCAGTGAAATCTGTAGAAGTTAAGACGGTCTGAGAGTTAAATGGATCTGAGGTTAAGGAGTCTGAGGATTAGTTAGGAATGTCAGGTATGATGTGCCAAAGATAAAGGAAAGAGGAAATGAGTATGAGAAGGGGGAGAACTTTGAAAAAAAGACTAACACAACAGAATTCTTTAAGAAAATGTCTGTGCTACCATTCCCTAACTTTTGTCTTCTGTCCTTCATTTAGATGTTCTGCTACTTCTGTGCCTTAGTTTGGGGGTCCTTGGAGCCCCCCACTCACGTATTTTATCAACGAGTGTCGGATTCCTGGATGATAATAAAGAGTTGAGCCGCAAGATCACTTTGGCTACATATGATCTAAGAGAAATTATGGTGAGTGTCTTCTGCTGGTAAAGGCTTTGGAGTCCATGATGTGGTGATACCTTTAGAATATATGCGTTAAAAAATCCTGGGATTGGTCTGAGCATCGTCTGCAGGGACCCCCCTTCCCATGACTGTATCACTTCGAAAAAAGTTATTACGACCACAAAGCCACTTTATAATCCCACCGAATATCTTGCACCGTTCTCCAGGGTGAACGAGCATTGCGACATTCCAAACCTGCATGTTACGGAGTTCTGTAGTTAAGTGAAGGAAACATCTAGCTGAAGGCATTTCCTTATCCAAATTTAACCCTGCCTACTGTATTCTGTCACACACACCCTTAGTCTCTCTCTCAGTACAAAGCATATCGGTTTGTTACAAAACAGCAAAATTTGGTTCCTTATGCTGAGAGCCCAGATATTACGGGAATAATCTGGCACTACCTGAGATGCACATTTGACGGCCGCTGCTTTTATATTTTTGCTCAGTGTGAAGTTCACAAACTATGTGACGAAGAGGAACTCAGAATAATTCAGAATGGGCTGGGACTACACGCAACCCCTCTGGAACAGTGCGACACTGTGAGCTTCAACAAGGTAAGTTACCATAAACTAAAAAGCAGCAATGCATGAGGAAACAAATAGGGCTTTTTCACTAAACACCAAATTGTGGTGAATTGAAACTTGTGGTGTAACGGCGAGCAAATCCAAGGAGAAATCTGTCTTTTTAGATTAAAAAAGTATTTTTAGATTTTTTTTCTAAAAAGTTTTGGCAAAATTGAAAATTACGTAAATTATTTATGTTGTATTGTTCGCTCTTTCTTTTGCGGCAACAACAGAAAGAGGGATATGTAAAAGTCTGAACTTACCGGGCTTGTGCCTTTTTCAGCATTATTACTATGTTACTAAGAATTGCAAAAGTGCTGATTATGAAAAATTCTTAAAGTGTGAATTTTGTAATTCAGTTTTGAGTTTACTACAATTGGCATGGTTATTTACCAACGTGAGAATTCAAAGCGAATTTCAAATTTAAGGCCTTAGTAGCCGAACCGACTAACAGAATTGATCAATTTAGGCTATTTTAGCTTTAAATTTGACATTTGAAGAATAACTCTGCTGGTGTTTACTGACTAATCTCCAAAGTTAATGTAAACGAATAATCTTCATTCCCCATGGACTGATGCTCATGCCCCATGCAATTTGATTGTCTATACATTTAAAATTTGGAAACTTATTTTTTTGTTATTTATTCAACAAATGGTCTCTGCTGCACCCTAGCTCAGTGATGGTTAACCTTGACACTATAAATTGTTTCTGGACTACATTTCCCATGATGCTCAGCTAGCCTTTAGAGTCTAAAAGCTAGCTGAGCATCATGGAAAACATAGTCCAGAAACCATTTATGGTGTCAAGGTTAACCATCACTGCCCTATATCAATAGCTGCACTTTGTGTTAGTTTTGTATAGTGCAGTTACACTTTGTCTCACGTATAGGGCCCTCAACTGCTACTGTATCAGCCTGTGAAACTATCACTTCTGTTTTGTTTACTGTAGTTTTTTTTTTTTTTGACAAGTGCCCACATGGAATTTTCTATATAGGTCATTGCACCAGCAATTGTAGTACTTTTAGACAAACTTGTATACAATGAAATCATTGTATGTAGATGATGGAGAACCAATAACCAGGTTAAAGCGGGGGCCATCTATAATCACAGTAATTTAAGCAAACATTTTCATATTGTTTAGAAAACCCATTATAGGGCAGTGACTATATTATAAGCCAGCCATTTTCTTTTACTTCTAACATAGCAACATAAAATCTGACAGGGCTATTTACCAAGATGAGAACTGCTGAGAATTCAAAATAAATATCAACATTTCTTTTCAATGAAGCCATATTAGAGACATTCTCCGGGTCTAAATTCTACTTTGAATTTAAAGTAATGCTCACTTTATTGAATAACCCAGTACAAAATTACATTCATACACACACACACTGAAAGTTAGGTTTGTGATCAGAGGGTTGGTAGGGGTTAACTAACGTGAGAAAGGGGTGTGTATGAAAGAGAGTAGCTGTGAATAGGAACACAGCAATTAAAAAAAAAAAGTTGGCGTTAAAGGGACACTACACTGTAAATCAGGGGTGCCCAAAAGGGAGATCCCCAGATGTTGTAGAACTACAGCTCCCATGATGCTTTGCGTGCCTTTAGAAGGTCCTTAGAATGACAAAGCATCATAGAAGTTGCAGTTTAAAAACATCTGGGGATCTACCTTATGGGCACCACATGCTGTAAATTCTCTATGAGACCATGAATTAAGCATTGCATTAACAAATTCAAAGTTATTTACTAGTCTTAGAATAGTAGTGAATTAAATCTTGAATTGTAAAATGTAGGCTAAAATAGCCTCTCTGTGACTATAGCGAAGTTGGAGAATTTTTCTAGATCAGCTGTTGACTACCTTTTGGGTACCCCTGTTTTAGAGCTCACTTATGTGCATAACATGTTGCCATTGAAAACGATGACAACATTTTATAGTTTTACAATGAAATAAAGCATTTATCTTTGAATAAATATAATAGTTGTTAATAGCCAATGTGATGTTGATGGAGTTGATAGAATACAGGAAATGTAACCTCACACTTCTTTCCCCACAGGGCGCATGTTTTTCCCAGCTGTCCAGTGGCCTGAGTGGTTTCATGACACTACTTACCTCAACTAGAGACTTACCACAAGACAAACTAGACAGTTTGGAGGCTGACATCAAAGATCTGCTTACCAATATCCAGGAAGAGGTGAGAATCTTACACAGGGACAATTGCTGAATAAAGAGGGGTAGGGGGTAATACGTGACTATATGATCAGCCCAAAATGTTTACTGCAGATGTAGAGGAATGAGTCTTGAATCAAAATGGAATCCTTGTATTATATTTAAGTGTATTCTTAATGGTGGACACAAACACATCATACAACGATATTTAGTAATGTAAACATTGTTAGAAATTCAAAGTGAATTTCAAATTCTAGCTCAAAATAGCAAAAAATGGAAATATAGTTTATTTGGACCATGTTTCTAATTAAGCTATATTGACTTAAAGGAACACTATAGGCATCAAAATAACTTTACCTTATTAAGTAGTTTTGGTGTATAGATCAAGCCCCTGCAGTCCCACTGCTTGTTTCTCTGCCATTTAAGAGTTAAATCACTTTTGTTTCTGTTTATGCAGGCCTAACAACACTTCCCCTGCCTGTGTCTCACACAACCTGCAATAAATAAATGTTTAATTTTTAATCAGATGTTAACTTACTTTATTAGTTTTTATCTCCTGCTTTATAAATTGAACTTTAATCACAATAAAGTGATTTCCTTTATGTGCAATACAGGAAATTTAAACATCACATTTCTCTTTACGTGAAGTGTTTAAGAAGGCAGTGTACGTCACACCTCCCTTCATGTGACTTACACAACCTTCCTAAACACTTCATGCTAAGATAGGGCAGTATAAACAAAGTAATTTAACTCTTAGATGGCAAATAATTAGGCAGTGAGATTGCATGGACATGATCTATACACCGAAACTGCTTCATTAAGCTAAAGTTGTTTTGGTGCCTATAGTGTTCCTTTAAGTTTTAAATTTACTTTGAATTCCCAACAATTCAATTTTCACATTACTTTTTAAAACAGAACACTGGATACATTCCTCCTATTGTGTTCCATTAATTTTTTACAAATGTGATTTTCCCACCATACTAACAGAAAGATTGGCTTGTTCGATAATCAAAAACACAAACCAAATAACGTCTCTTGTCTCAACAGATGGAAGCACAAGGAATTAATGCTGTTAACCACTCCATTCAGGAAACACCAATATACAAAACACCATTAGAAGAAAAAGCAGGAACCTTCCTGATCTTATCAAACCTGCACAAATTTATGCTTATGGTCCAAAATGTATTAGGATAATCATTTAATGGGTCATAAGGACTTTGCAACGAGGATCCCCTGTTTAATATTTAAGCAGCATCCTATCTGAACGGTTTCCTTAATTGCAATAAGGAATGTGTATGTAAGGGAGGAAGCGACTGTGTATAATGGGTATAGTGTGTGTGTGTGTGTGTGTGTGTGTGTGTGTGTGTGTGTGTGTGCATTTGTGGGGTGGCATAGGGGCTATATTCTGTGTGGGTTGGAACGGGAGTAGTTTTATTTATTTTTATTATTATTATATTTATTTAATTTTTTTCTGTTTATTTATTTCCCCCCTCCCTGGTTATTACCTCTGGCCAGGGAGGGGGGTCAATATATTTCTTGGTGGTACTTTAGAGGCTCCTGCTTACACCTCCGACAGGTGGAGGCTCTTTCACGAGTCCTGGCATTGTGAAGTATCTGAGCGCTGTTGGGGTTAAAATCTTTCTAAAAGTGCCACAAATCACATGGTTTACATTGATAGACTTGGGCAAACTACACTAAAATATGGGATTTTGTGTCTGTCTCAGTATTGATTTGTGCCACTAATGCTAAGCCGAGTTGGTTAGAATAACAGGTTTATTTGTTGGGAGAAGTTTTAGGAATTCAAAGTTAAGTTCAAATTAAAGACCAAAGTAGCTGAATTGATAGCAAAGCTGACGGAGAACTGTTTTAGCCTTAAATTTGAAATCCGCTTTGAAATTACTATTATTATTATTTTATTATTTATATAGCACCAGAAAATTCCATAGCGCTGTACAATGAGTGGGTTCCTGACAATTCTCTAGTCAGTGATTAACTCTGTGTTTGTATCTTAGAAAAACTTGCCATCAGAAAAACGTTAATAAGCAAAAGTAATGTACGAAAGGCGTTCTTCTTAGTCAAATAAAAGCAGTCTTCAGTGTTTTGATGGGTTAAGAATCGCCAACGCTATCACAAGGAGCAAATGCTCAGCCTACTATTTAATAATATCTGATAGAATTAAGGAGCAGAACATTCCATGTTTGTATCGGTTTTCTTCATTACTTATATAGGAAAGTCCTTTCCTGACAGTAAACGCGTTTTGAGAGAAAAGTCTATTGCACTAACTACTCTGGGGAGTAACATAGATATATATAGATGAATTATATATTTAAGAATTTGGAGGCCTATCATCTCAGAGTCCATGAGTTTTGTTCTCAGTTTGCAGGAGTATGCCTAGGACCGGGGTAGGCAATCTTCGGCACTCCAGGTGTTGTGGACTACACCTCCCACAATGCTCTTACACCCCATACAGCTGGAAATGCATTGGGGAGATGTAGTCCACAAGATTTTAAGTTTGTCTAACCCTAACCAATTGGTTTTTCCATGCTTACATCTAGGTGCTGCTGAGCTGTGCAGCTTGTGGGGGAGGAGGGGATTTTGTATTGGCGTCAAGCCCCTGGTATTTTTTTTACCTTAACACCCCTATTTATGTTCCCCTTCCCTGTTTAATCTATTTTAAATTATTTGGGTAGATGATGTTATTTGGGATAACAATGAACGTATTTATTTGATATTTATTTATAGATTTTTAAATAATTATGTATATTTATACAGTTTGTGTAATATTTGTGCAATTTTTACCCAGTGAAAAAAAAATTATGTGTTGCGAAAAAAATAAATACAATTTAAATAGAAGATATGTGTATATTTATTTGCCAACCAAAATGTACTGGTATCATGTTGACAGCAATCATGTGTTGTAATTGCTCCACGTCAGCTATGTATGTAGTGTTACAGGGTGCCCTGAACCTTCGCATTAAAAGTTCTCATCCTCCTAAGGTACAGTGTTAAAGGTATGTCTGACCCTTTTGTACCCATATTGCCAGCCCACCCTCATGTTCTCTGCCAAGAAAGAGCCTGGTACCCACTTTACTATAACAGTTCCTCAGCAAAAAGGCTAACGAAGTGCCTCGCACCCCCTTGCATGAAAGATGCCAAAATTGGGAAGTAACTCCAAGGGTGTAGGTGGACTGTGATGTAATAAGACTCACCTAAAAAAAGGGGTGCGTTAGCCTAGTGTTAATGCACACCGTACTGACAGCCTCTCTGGGCACCCTCGATCAAAGCAGATCAGGAGCAGATTGCTACTGAATCTCTCTTCCAATAACAGTACTTTGCGCAGTGCAAGCCTTGCTGATGTTTGCTGAGGATAATTCCCTGGTGTTCCCAAATGCAAAACACAGATAACAAACCTGGAAAGGCAACTCGGGAGCCTAAAATTGTTCTCTAGGATCTAGGACAGCCTCTAAGTAGAATATAAAGGTAAGTTCCATAAATCATACATTTATAAAACAAATACCTATCTACCCCAATGTCCCTAAATATATCAATTTATTGAGATACTTTTTAAAAAGGGGTTCTTAAAGAACCAGCAAGCGAGGGGTACTTATTTAATTAACGTGTCATTGTAAGTACCAAAACCACTTCAGATTAATTAAGTAATTTTGGTGTATAGATCATTCCCTGCAGTCCAACTGCTAAATCATCTGCTATTTAGGAGGTAAACTACTTTATTTTTGCAATCCTTGTCACACCTCTCCTGGCTGTCAATCACACAGCTTCCTTTTCACACTTCCTGATAAGACAGATACATTTACACCCTATCTTGCATTCCACTGAGCTTCAACAGAATGTTTACTTTAAGAGTTGCAGGTGGTCCAGTTAATTACAATCATCCCAGCAAAGTCTTTATTTAAGGGCTTGCAGAAGATGGGCGGGAGGAGTCCATCAGCTTCCTGTAAGATTGGGATTTGTAATAAAGCTGAAAATAAGTCTGCAGACCAGGAACCATTTATAACACAACTTTATTGAAAGTGTTTTTTGTTTAAATTCCCTCATATAATTTGTAAAAGATCCAATATTATTTAATGGTTTATTTTTATTAATACATACATCCCAACATTTCAAATGGGATACATAATTTTAGGAGTGAGAGTGGGGTGTTTTGCCAGGGGCGGAGGTGTTCTAAACAAAAATGGAATTTATAACAATCTCATTCACATTGACTGACTTTTAAATCCATTTATTGTAGTTTCAAGACACGACTGCTGACTCCTTCAAATTTTTTAACCTTCCATTACCCTCCTTCCCAATAAATTACGCAACGCCAATTACGTGGGAAAGGGCAACGGCCACAGCTTTATTTTTAACAAACAAAGAAACTACTGTCAGCTGCTGCTTTTACCCAGCAGACCTAACATATTAAAGGACCACTATAGGCACACAGACCACTTGCGCATTTGGCTCCACTCGGGAGCCAACGTCGGAGAGGGAGGAGAGGTCGCCAGCGCCAAGTGAGCCTGGCGCTGGATAAAGGTAAGTGGCTGAAGGGGTTTTAATCCCTTCAGCCCAGCGGTAGGGGGCCATGAGGGTGGGGGGTACCTAAGGACTACATAGTGCCATGAAAACAAGTTTGTTTTCCTGGCACTATAGTGGTCCTTTAACCAATCCTCTTCAGCCTGTCATTCGTCCTTGACCGAACCGGGCTCTGACTCTCCAAGTCCGTCATGGCAGTATTCATTTCAAGACTTGCTGGTGAAGGAAAACCGCAGCTGTGATGAAATAGAAAAAAAACAAAGCACAAATGGTGACCCCATAACACACCAACAGGGGAGCATGGTGGTAAAAAAGCACAGCCTGGATCCCTCAGTCTTGCTCTCCAGTGGTCCGGTGGGTTCTCCCAAGATTCCCCGTTTCCCTAGCCCCAACATTTTTTTTTTGGCTGCCATGGCAACCACTCTGGGCAGTAGTCATGTTCCTTTACTGTGATTGTGCTGTGGAGTCCTGGTATAATTTCAGTCACACCAACAATATGGAGCTCCATTTATATTATATTATGCTCCCTGTGTCTCTCTTTCATTGGTCATTGCCAGCACAAATAAAGTTTGTCCCAGGCCAAAAAAGTGATGGGTCAACTGTTTTGACTTAACATATAAATTGGTGATAAACACCAATATTCCTTGGATTTAAATTAGGTTAATTATTCAGCAAACCTGAGTTGTCCCTTCTCAAATATGGAAACGTGCATAAACTGAATTTGATTAGATTTTGTTTATGTTTAATTTTGTAATTCAGACCTTATTAAATCATCTTATTTTTCTGCTGAGCTCCCTCTGCTGGACACTTGTACAAATAGTACTTTTACTCAGTCTCCCTACATTTTTTCTTGATATACTTTTCTTTTCTCTTAAAGGGACACTGTAGTCACCCAGACCACTTCAGCTCAATTAAGTCGTCTGGGTGCCAGGTCCCTCAGGTTTTAACCCTTTAGATGCAAACATAGCAGTTTCAGAGAAACTGGAATGTTTACATTTGGGGTTAATCCAGCCTCTAGTGGCTGTCTTCCGGACAGCCACTAGAGGCGCATCTGTGACGCTGGAGGCACATTTTGCCTCCATCGCGCAGAGCGTCAATAGGAAAGCATTGAGAAATGCTTTCCTATGGACACTTTGAATGCGTGCGCAGCACATGCCGCGCAGGCGCATTCGGCTCTGCTGACGTCGGCGGGGGAGAAGAGGTCACCAGCACCGAGGGAGCCCGGCACTGGATTAAAGGGACACTCCAGGCACCCAGACCACTTCTGCCCATTTTTATAAACTGCAATAATTACCTTGCAGGGTTAACTCCACCTCTAGTGGCTGTCTACTAGATTACTATGAGTAATAAGTCACAACAATAGACAATCACAGTCTGCTTAAACTAATAACACACAAAGAATGAAATGTTGCCATGTTTTTATTGAACACACCATGTAAACATTCACAGTGCAAGTGGAAAAAGTATGTGAACCCTTGGATTTAATAACTGGTTGAACCTCCTTTGGCAGCAATAACTTCAACCAAACGTTTCCTGTAGTTGCAGATCAGACGTGCACAGCTCTTTTCAGCTACATGTGTGTTCCTTTAAGGTTAGAAAGAGGTTTATGTCAGCTATAGATTACACAGGGTGTTTAGTGTCAAGAGGATTAACCCCCTAAGGACACATGACATGTGTGACATGTCATGTGTGTAGGTAGTGGTTATTGTGCGGTGCGAACTAAAGCAATCAAATTACATTATCCCAATTTACCCCCCAATTAAAACCAAGAGACATAAATGTGGTATAAACAGGCCACAGCTTTATTTATAGTCATAAATATAAATCAATCAGCCAATATTTAATCGAAAAATATTGTCCTTGCCAACCAAACCATAATAACTCCCAGAGTACCCCCAACCAGGGTAACTGCCCTCCCCCCTCGTCCAAGATAACTGGCCTTTTAACTTGGCCTTCCAATTCCCCATGCCAACCCCTGGCCGCCTTTTACTGGCACGGGGGGCACGCCCAACTACCACAAACTCTCCGAGGTTAGGGGAGGGACCAGACCCAGCATTCCTTCTTCCGGTGTACTCGTTTTCCAACTGGTTTGGCAAGGACCATACCCGCCAGCTGTGAAAAGAAAGAAAGTTAGAGATATACAATATACAACAATCACAAGCAAGGGTGGGCGGGAGGGAAGATGTTACCAGCCGTTATTCTAAGATGGCTGAGGTAAGGGACAAAATGACTGCCCTTTTATATGACCCCACCCCACCCCTAACCTAAGTGACACCCCCCAACATGTGACACCTACACCCACCACACCCACACATGCCTCCTATCCGGCTAGCTTTCAGCCCGCCTCCTCTGGGCCTTGTGTGTAGGTAGTGGTTATTGTGCGGTGCGAACTAAAGCAATCAAATTACATTATCCCAATTTACCCCCCAATTAAAACCAAGAGACATAAATGTGGTATAAAACAGGCCACAGCTTTATTTATAATAACAAACATAAATAAATCAGCCAATATTTTTATCGAAAAATATTGTCCTTGCCAACCAAACCATAATAACTCCAGAGTACCCCCAACCAGGGTAACTGCCCTCCCCCCTCGTCCAAGATAACTGGCCTTTTAACTTGGCCTTCCAATTCCCCATGCCAACCCCTGGCCGCCTTTTACTGGCACGGGGGGCACGCCCAACTACCACAAACTCTCCGAGGTTAGGGGAGGGACCAGACCCAGCATTCCTTCTTCCGGTGTACTCGTTTTCCAACTGGTTTGGCAAGGACCATACCCGCCACTAGCGCCTACTGCATTTAAGCCTAAATCAGCGGGCGCGACTCCCCACTACCGCCATGGCCTGCTCTAACGCGTCCTGCAGTGCAAGATTAAATAAATCCAAACCCACATACGTGAGATGGACCCCGTCCGGGCGAAAATAGATCGCCGCTTCCCTTTCGAATATCCGGTGTCGCACTGTGACACCCCCAACCCCGAGTACGAATTTGGACACCCTCTTGTTGATCTTCACCCTGCAGCGCTCAATTGCACCCTGATCCCTCGCACGGCGCCAATAGTTCCTAGATACTATACCTGACCAGACTAAGCAGAGTTGCGGGAAGAGGACTAGCAAGCGCGCCAAATCCCGTCTAATGAGCTCACTAAGCCCCCAAGCAGGCAGCGCCCCAAG